TGTTTTTTATTTTCTTTGTAACTTTGGGCTATCTAACTAAAAAAGATAGATGAAAGGGTATATAAATAAATGTTTCCTTTGACTTGGGCATTTAAATGAACTCCCCTTTTTTTTCTCGGAGCACTTGTGCGTAGGCTAAGGGAAGATGTTTTAAAGTACCCAAAAAAACAAAGATTTATATTTCAAAAGTGTATATATATAAATTATATTTAATTAAATTAGATTCATAAAATCTCTTCAAAACATAAATTCGCCGTCAAACAGAAAAGAAAAGGTAGAGAGATCTATCCTATTTTAGATTACCGTCACCTGAATCTGGTTGATTGAAAATAACCAGACAATTTAGGTTATAAATTGGAAGTTATCGTCACAGTAGATAAGAATTTTTGAAGGAAGCGGCTAACATTGTAGAGTTGTTGTATTGTATTGTATTGTATTGTTGGCAAATGGCTTTGAATTAGATCTAAATGGTTTCGAAGTCACAATTGGTGGCGGCTAATATTGTATTGTTGTTGAATCTAGAGATGGCAAACTGACCGAGCGGCTTGTGAAAACACGAGCTACGAGCCGCTCGAGCTTGTCAAATGATGAGCCACAAGTGATCTCGATGAGCCGATCAATGCTCGGCCCGTCGAGCTCGCGAGCTCGACGAGCCGAGCACTTGGCTTGTGGGTTAAAGAAATTTTTTTAAAAAAACGTGAAAAAGTAAAAAAAAATAAAAATTTCAAAAAGCTCGTGAGCTCGCGGCTTGGCTTGTGGGCCGAGCCGAGTTCGCCCACGAGCAAACGATCCACGAGCTCGTGGGTTTAAGGGTCTAGCCGACATGACTAGTTGAATCTTCTTACTTTTGAGTTTATGAAACGGTGTTGAAGCTTAAATCATGACTTGCTATGATGAAAATTGAAGAGCTCCATTAGCCTCTAAATTGTGATATTGAAAAGATCCATTGGCCTATAAACTGTGAGTTGCTGTTGCGGAGATTGAAAAGATCAATTTTTACATGTGATTGATTCAATGGCCTATGACCAGCATTTTATAATATGTTACTTGTTGATATGGATCTATGACATATGCACTATGACATGTAACATGTGAACGGTTACATGTGACATGTGATAGTGATCCAATAACATATAATCAATTCTTTCGAATCTGTGACATGTGGACATTGATCTGTTGTCTATGCAATATGACATGTGACTTATGAACGGTTACCTGTGACTTGTAAACTTGAATATGTGACTTGTTATCAGTGCACAAAGACATATGACATCTAATATGTGGCTAGTTGAAATTGATTTGTGACTTATACAACATGACTTGAGGCCTGTAAACATAAATCAGTAATCTGTGACTAGTTCTATTTGATCTATGACTTGTGAAAATTGATTTGTAGCCTATTCACAATAACCCATGACATGTGAACTGGTATCTGTGACATGTCACAAGTGCATATTGAACTTAAACAATTAAATTATGATTTGTAACAAGGGACTTATGACGTTTGTAAATAAACTTGTGGCCAGTAATATTTAACAATTCGAATAACTTATCTATACTAGTGACAGCCAATAAAAATCACCACAAAACCTCACTATCACCACCATTTGCAAAACATCAATAACAACCAGTAAAAATTACCCTAAAACACCGACTATGTANGACGCGGTCCCTCATATCTCTTCGCTGAGAAATTGATTCTTCCTTCAATGCCTTGAAATCGAATAAGCATTTGTAGGACCATATTCTGATGAAAATAAGGGAAAGGGGGTTTGATGGATCTCCCATTATGTGCATCGATAAGTGGAGGAATTTATTGAAGGAGTTCAAGAAAGCTAAGCAGAATCAAGATAGTAATGGAAATGGTTATGCGAAGATGTCTTATTACAAGGACATTGAGGAGATTTTGAGGGACATGAGAAAGATTGAAGCTAATTACAAGAGTCACACGCTAATGCTGCTGCTATCGACGGTTCCTAAGTCGAATCATTTTTGCATTTTACTGAAAAGAGGTTTTCTTTTTTCTCTTATTATTTCGTGGTTTTGGTGTGAAAAATGTGAATTTTCGATCTTGAAAAATGCACTAGATTGTTATTACGGTATCTTCGACACAGGCGGCGACGAAGGGCACATGACTGTGTTGTAGCTATAGGGAGCATGTTAGTGAGAGATTAGAGAGAGTGCATAATTAATATCGTATTTCTTTAATAAATATTAAATAATTAATGAAAGATGAAACTTAAAAGGGAATAATACACAAAACCTACATATAAGAATTACTTTTCAAAACTAACAAATTTGTCTAATTATTTCAAAAATCAGGTGGTAAATAGATTTATTAANTTAAAATATTTCAAAAATCATGTAGTAAATAAATTTATTAAATATTAAAATAAAATATAATATAGATTAATTATTTACACCCCATGACACCTCACCCACCCCCACCCCCATCACCTCACTACACCACCTTCTCTCCATCTCCTGCACCGCTCCGGCGATTGCTCAGGCGACGTTCCGGCGATTGTTCCGACTATTACTCCGGTGGCTGCTCCGGTGACTCTCCGGCAATCACTCCGACGACTATTCCGACAATCACCCCGACACCCGTTCGGGCGGCCAACTTCCAAATTTTTCTAGAATTTTTTTGTCACAATTGGTCACCAAGAGTCACAATCGGTCACAAAATGCCACAATCAGTCACAAACAGTCACATTCGGTTACAAACAGTCACAACGAACTACCCGGTAGTCAAATCACGATCTGGTCATAGATCAGAAAAGGTTCGCCGACACCACCAACTCCTGTTGCAGCCTTCTTACTCTGCAGCGGCGTCGACTACGCCTCCACCACCACCACATCAATCCAGTCATCCTTACACCCACAACCATCACCATACCCTATTACAGAAGAAAAGAGCAACATCCGAAAACAATAAAATCCCACATGAAATAAAATTAAAATACCAACAAAGATGCAATAAATGACATGATTCCTGAGTCTGCTCGAGCGCCTCACCGTGGTAATAATATTGTCCAAGTGGTAAATCTAAAAATGAATAATTTGACAAAAAATAGATGAAAGAAAGTTTAATTGCATTGAAGTTTGCAGCAATCATTCCTGAGATATTATTCGAAGCCTCAATGAAGAGGAAGCTCACTATGGCTCACCACAATCTCCCTCAATTTAACCCCAGATTCTTCCTCTCTGTTTCCCACAAAACTCCATTCTCCACTCTCTCTCTCACCGTTCGTTCATCGAAATCGTTCCCAACAAGCTTTTCAAGTCCAAGAAATCACGGCCTGTTTCCAGATCCGAGACCGATCCGTCTTCCATCAGCTCCCAAACGACATCGTCTTCCTCCCACGAATCCCAATCTGGCCTTAAGCGTTCGAAATGATAGACATGGAAGGGACTGGGAAAGTAAAGAAAGAGGAGCTGAAAACTTTGTTGAGGGAGATTGGACTTCTTTGCTTCCGATCGTGATGGGAAGATAGCAGCAGAGGAATTGCTCAACGTTTTTAAAACTACTAGGGACTCATGGTGCACGTTAGAAGACTGCCGACGCGTGATAGGAGTAGTGACGTTGGGAATGAGCCGTCGGAAGATAGGAAGATGAGCCGCCGGAAGAGCGGGAGAGGGAGGGTAAAGGGAGAAGGACGCTGCGAGCAGAGACGACAATAGTAGGTATGTGTGTGGTGGGTAGAGA